ACCGCATCGCCGATGCATCGACGATGGGGCTCGATGCGGAGCCCGATGTCCTTCACGCGGACGTCGCCGATGCATCGCCGACGTCGCCGATGCATCGCCGACGTCGCCGATGCATCGCCGATTCGGCGCGATCCTCCGACCCCATCTACTCCGACCCCATCTAGGAGGCCTCCAGATGGGCAACCTTCCCAAGGCTACCCTTGCATCCTTGTCCCGTTCGGCCCCTGCTCAGCGACTTTCGCTGGCCAGCCTCTTTCGAAAAACGTCGGCGTGGCCCTCCAAGGCCTTTGCACCCTTACCGCGCGTCCTCATGACACGGGTTAACTGGAAAACCTGGTCCCGGGGAATGGGTCCAGACCTCATTTGGGAGGCCTCCGCCCATACCACTGACCCCCTCCCGCCGTGCAAAGTCAACGACAGAGGGTTTGGGCCTAATTGCCGGGCCCGTCGCAGCATCCACAGAACGGCTCGGGGCTAAAACCTGATCCCGGGGAGTGGGTCCAGACCTCTGGGGGATCGCGCGTTCCAGAAAAATCACGACGTCGGGTGCCTGCAGCTGCAGGGGGACGTGCGGTGCCCGCCGATTGGTGATGATGACGATGCTAGTGATGCAGCACTCTCGAGTTGGCGACGACGCGTGGTGACGATGGCGCGTCGAGATCTCATTATCGATCTCATGATCGATCTCGCTATCGGTCTCACTCGATCGGTCCCACCATCGCTTTCGCTCGATCGATTTCACTTGTGATGCCACTCTAAATATCACTACTGAACCCACTATCGGTCCCACCATCGGTCGCACCATCGCTCTCACCGCGGTACCACGGGACACCACAGGACACTGACGGGACTCCGACAGGACACCGAAGGAACACCGACGGGACATCCGCGGGACATCGACGGGGCATCACGGGACCCCATCGGCACACCATCGGGACACCAATCGATCGATCGATTACATGTTCGATCTCACTATCGATCTCACTCGCTCGATCTCACTATCGATCTTGCTCGATCGATCCACTATCGGTCTCACTATCGCTCGCACTACCGATCTCACTATCGATCTCACTATCGATCTCACTATCGATCTCACTATCGATCTCACCGCGGGACACCACAGGACACCGACGGGACACCCGCGGGACACCGACGGGACACCGACGTGACACCACGGGACACCATGGGGCACCAATCGACACGACCGATCTCACAATCGATCTCACCATGAATCGCACTATCGATCTCACTCGCTCGATCTCACTATCGATCTCACTATTGGCCTCACGATCGATCTTACTATCCATCTCACCACGGGACACCGACGAGACGCCGACGGGACACCGACGGGACACCAACGGGACACCGACGGGACACCGACGGGGCACCGACGGGACAGCGACGGACAACCACGGAACAACAACGGGACACCGACGGGACACCGATGGGGCACCGACGGGATCATGGCGGGACAATCCAGCCACAGCCCGCCCACCGCGGGAAAGAGGCGCGCAGCGACGGGACACCACGGCGGGACAACCCGGCCACCGCCCACCCACCGGGGAGGGTGGAGGGGCGGTCAACGGCTCTTGACCCGCCCTAGCCACAGCGGAGTCATTCCTCTCGCCCGCCCACGCAGTTTCGCTTCGCCAACACGCACAGCACGAACCCGAAACCGAAACCGATTTCCCGGTGGGGGGCTCTCCGTTCCATTTCGATCTCACCCACCCACCTCCGATGTGTTTATATATGGGCATCTCTCTCCCGCACTCTCGCCCTGTCTACCGCACGCGGGGCTCAAATCCAACCCGGGATGGCTCTCCAGCGCGCGTGTTTCACGTTCGGGTGTCGTTGCCCACATTGTTTTGGAGGGTTGTTGTCAACAGTCCATTTGTGCCCTTGAAAGTTTCACATGTCTTAATTTTGTCTGTGCGGCCTACGGCGTCCCCCATGATCCTGAGTAGAGTCCAGAACAAAGACGTCTCTTTCTGCCTGTCTCTCTACCTCTCTCTCTCTCTCTCTCTTTGACCTTCTCCTTCTGTGTGAGAGGAAGGAAAAGTGGAAGCTAATATTGTTCGCGCCATATCTGCCAGTCTACCCCTCCCACCCATGCTGTCCCATTGTGCTAATCGATGTTATGTCCGCGAACTGGGGTGGCCTTGAGGACATTGATATCAAAAACGACCTCACCGTGCGATGCGCAAGTAAAAAGGAGGGTTGTGTACATTCGAGGAGGAGGCGGATGGAGAGGAGGAGGAGGAGGAGGAGGAGGAGGAGGAGGAGGAGGAGGAGGAGGGGGGAAAGAGAATGAGCAGGAGGAGAAGGAGGAGGAAGAGGAAGTAGGAACAGCAGCAGCAGGAGCAGGAGGACCTTGAGGACCTGGAGGACCTGGAGGACCAGGGAAGGGCGGAGGAGGGGAAGGGAGAGGGACGGCAACGACGAAGAATGAATCGGATCAGAAATGTGACGACCCGCGCTGGGCGAGAACATTCTGAAAGACGGGAGCAAATCACCAAGCCCGATATGTAACCAACGCTGCAGCGGGAGCCCCGTTTGTTGGAGGGCCGAGGCTCCGATCCGATACGCAAGCATGTGAAATTCTGCGTATGGAAAAAGGCGAGAGAGCCGGCGGCAGCACCAGACATGATCAGGGGAGACAGAGGGATGGTATGCATGTTGGGCAGGCGTGGGCGAGGAAGGGAAGGGTTAAGAACGACGATGAGAGGGGCATCGCGTGAAGAGCATATGGAAGACGAGCATGGGGAAGAGAGAGGAGAGGAGTACGTTCTCGCTCGCTTCGCCCCCGTCTCTCTTGGAGTCTCCGTGCAGCCCACGGGCACGTCCAACCTGGGGAGGGCGCGGCACTGGTCGCAGCAGCGGTCGTGCGGTCAGGAGGTGTTGCCTAGCGTATCGCGCGGCTGGCCCGACTAGTGGTTGGACGGCTTCCGACACGCCTCGCGAGCCTGTTCTGACCAAAAAAGTAGCGCGCGGCTGGTTCTGGCCCACCACGCCTCGGCGCGACGCATGATCCACGTCCCAGCCACCAAGCGGCAGCGTCCCGAGCCTCCTTCCCAGCATCCCGCCCCGCGGGGCGGGGCGACACGCGGTCCGCCAGCCATGGACAGCGTGTCGCCGCGGCCGCCGCGACACGCTGAGCAGAAGTTCCCGACCCTAGCCCGTAGCCGCGGCAGGCGCAGCAGCAGAGGTGCCCACAGAGGTCCCCCCAGCTCTGGCTGGAGCACTCGGCCTTGGCCCGCCCGCGGCCCCCGGAGGCCGCGCACGAAAGGTCATTCTTGCCTAGGGTCACGCTTGCGTCTAACGCCTACGGTAGGTCCACGTCGTGTCGACCTGCGGCGACCCCGCCGCCGGCGTTCCATGTTGAGCGCCGCCAGCGACCCGGAATCGATCGACGTGGAACGATCGGACGCTGCGGGAACGACCGATCGGTTCGAGGTTGCGCGGTGTCAGGAACCAACGCTGGGGCCTGCACGACACGAGCCCGTCGCAGCCGAGCGCGTCAAAAGAGAAGCGCGGCCCCCAGCCAGCAGACGCCGTGCCCGGTGGGCACCTTGGGCAGCGTGCCGGCCGCCGTCCCAGAGGTCCATTGCAGGATGGCATTGCGCGGCGAGCTGATCGGCGAATTGATCGGTGGTGGCGAGCCACAGCGCGATCGTGACCTGGAGGTGGCGGACCTCCAGGATGGCATGCGGTGGCGATCTGGTCGGCGGTGGCGAGCCAAAGCGCGATCGTGATTTGGAGGTGGCGGACCTCCAGGATGGCATGCGGTGGCAAGCCAAAGCGCGATCCTGATCCGGAGGTGACGGGCCTCGATGCCCGGACATGCTCGCGTCGTTAAACAACTACCACGGGGGGGGGGAGGCGTTTTCGGACCCCGGGGGCCTTCGCCGGGCCCCAGGACCATCAAAAAACGACTCGGAGTAAAAACAAAAAACAAAAGAAATGGGACAGGGTCGGGACGTGCGGGGATCCCGCATGTAATAAATCAAGACGTCGCATGTCTGGGTGCACAGGTTGAAGGCGAGTCGGGGTCAGCTTATTGGGCAGGCCTTACGGCCAGTGCCGCCGACCCTGAATGGGGGGCGTCGACGACGACGCGGCCGCGCCAGTGGTGGCCGCTCCACGGGGCGCGAGCCTTCCCCGAGGGGGCGAGTGCTCCCCGCGCAACTCCGAAGGGGCCTGGCCTGCCGATGAGGGCATGGTGCTCGTTGGGAGGTCGCGGGGGGCCTCTCGGGTGCCCCTTGGGGGCCTCCTGGGGGGCCTCCTTGGGGCCTCCAGGCTCCAAGGGGGCCGCCTGGGGCCTCCTGGGGGCCTCTCTTGTGGCGGAAGACTCGGACTGTCGGTCCCCCTCCCGGGCCCTCCCTCGGTGGCCCGTCACGGAGCCCTCTTGGGGCCGTCTTGGGGCCCTCCTGGCTGGAGGTCTCTTGGGGCCGTCTGGGGCCGGTCTCGGGGGCCGCTCGGGCCGTCCTGCCGCGTCGGAAGCCTCAAGAAGCCTGCGGCTCATCAATGTCCTTGGGCCGCTCGGAGCCCTCTCGAGAAGGCTCCTGGGGGGCTCCCCCGGGGCGCCTCGAGGGCGTCTCGGGCAGTCTTGGGGCCATCTTGGGCGTCTTGCACCGCTCGTGCGGCGATCCGGGGCCCTGTTGGGACCTTCTTCGGGGCCATCTTGGGCGCCCTGGATCTTCGGGGCCTTTTGGCTCTTCTTCGGGCCCGTCTCTCGGGGCCTCCTGGGGGCTCCGAAGAGGTCGTGGCCGGAGCCCTCGGCGCCGCTCCCCAGACGGCCCTCCTGGGCCCGTCTCTCGGGGCCTCCGGGGGGCTCCGAAGAGGTCGTGGCCGGAGCCCTCGGCGCCGCTCTCCCCAGAGGGCACGGCACGCCGGGCCCGTCTCGGGGGGGAAGCGGGGGCTGGGCCCCGGAGGAGGAGGGGGAGGAGGAGGGGGGAGGAGAGGGGAGGAGGAGGAGGCGGAGGGAGGAGGGGGAGGAGGAGGGAGGAGGAGGAGGAGGAGGAGAGAGGGGGAGGAGGAGGAGGGGGGAGGAGGAGGGGGGAGGAGGAGGAGGAGGAGGAGGAGGAGGAGAGGCGGAGGAGGAGGAGGGGGAGGAGGAGGAGGAGGGGAGGAGGAGGAGGGGAGGAGGAGGGGAGGAGGAGGAGGAGGGGAGGAGGAGGAGAGGGAGGTGAGGACGGAGGAGGAGGAGGAGGAGGAGGAGGAGGAGGAGGAGGAGGAGGAGGAGGAGCCATATGTTTTTCGTCAGGGTATCCTGGGATTCTTCGCTCCGCGCGCTGCGCGGTGACTTCCCGCAGCCGCTGGGGAATGTGCTGCGTTTAGGGGGGGCTCCGGGTTTCCCCCCGGGTGCACATCGCGCGCGGGTTCTCCGGGCTGGGCTTCTTGCGAGGGTTTCTTGCGGCCGCGCCCGCACTGTAGGCAAAGGATCTGGGGACATTCCACTTCGTGCCACGGGGGCACGGTGGCGGATCTTGTTGCTCACCCAGGCCTTCCAGCCCTTCGGGGGGGGGGGGTGAGGAGTAGGAGGAGAAGGGGTAGCCTGGGGATGGGGAGGAGGAGGAGGAGGAAGAGGAAGGACCGTGGCCATTCTGGCTCAAGGTATCTCCATACGTGGGGCTCCGAACCCCTACTCGAGGTCAAGGGGGCCCCCGCCCAGCGCCGCGGCATTCGCCAGGATTCTTCTGCACGGTCCTGTCAGTCGCCGACGGGGGGGCGAGGGTTGGGTTCCACCAGACAGAGGGACGCTGGCATGCCAGCTGCACCACTTGTCGGCCATGGCACGGAAGTGCATCTTTGGAAAGAAGGGTTCGGCGAGCTTGCTGCACAGCTGGAGCTACCGGCAGCATTGGAAGCAGCGCGACGCCATCCCCAGCCTACAGCGCAGGCGTGCGCGCGTGGGACGAGTAGTAGTTGTGGTGTTCGGCCAGCTGCTTCGCAGCGCGAGGGGGCTCCTGCCAGGCAATCACGTGGCTGAAGAGGCACGACGAGTCGCCGATGGCGATGCCACAGGGAGGTGCAATGTCGTCCGCCAGGATGGCGACGTCCTTAGAGGCTCAGAGCTGTTTGGAATCTCAGCTGTTACGGCGACCGCGGCAAGGGAAGCTAGGGACGAGTACTACAAGGCGGCCAGGATGAAGGCCATTTCGGCGCAGCAGCGGCAGCACAAGTGGCGGTGGTTCATGGGCGATGACCGCATCGGCTCGGCCTAGTTCAATGGAGGACACAGGGGGAAAATGGCTGCCAGAGAAGACCTTGAGGGCGGCCCGACCGCCCCGTGGCAAAACAACCCCGTTGCGATGGTCTGCCTCATCCTTCTCCTCCTTCTCCTCCTCCTCCTCCTCCTCCTCCTCCTCCTCTCCCTTTTCTGCTCCACCTCTCCTCCTCCTCCTCCTCCTCCTCCTCCTCCTCCTCCTCCTCCTCCTCCTCCTCCTCCTTCTCTTCCTCCTCCTCCCCCTCCTCCTCCTCCTCCTCCTTCTCCTCCTCCTGCGATCCACGCCCGCGCGCGCTGCCACCCTCGCGCGGGGCGACGTGCTCCCACAATGTACAGCCAAGATGCCGAAGGAAGAGCCATTTGAGGCTCAGAAGGGGCTCTGGTTTTCGGACCGTTTCTTAGATTCAAGTGGGGGAGCGCGGGCGACGCGAGCCTCTCTTAGGCTCGCGCCCTCGTGGATGGCGCGCGTGGCCGCTTTGCCAGAAAACGGTGTCTACCCTTGTCCTTCTCCTGTCCTCGTCCTCCTCGCCTTCCTCTCCTCCTTCCCCGTCGAGCGCACGCGTGCTGACACTCAACCTATTCGCGGCCGAGGCGCGCCGTGGCCAGGAAAGTTCCTCCGCTCCCGATTCCGCAGCCCTTCCGGCAGCACGACCGCCGTGAAAGCTTGCCAAGCAGATCCACCGATGCAGCCCGACGCGGATCCTGCAGCACACTGGCACAAGGTGCAGCTCGCGAGGTGGCGCGGGTGCTGCTGACCTTTGCCCCCCCCCCCGCCCATGGACATCGCCGCGGGGGGCCGCCGGGGAAGGTGGCAGCTCAAGGGCCCCCTCCCCCGCGAGGGACTGGTCTGTGCTTCGCCGAGGGTTACGCGCGCAGGAGGGCGGCATGAAGCGCGCGGGTGTGTAGAGTGCTGTCAGCGAGGACGGCGTGCTGAATGAATTGCGCGCCGCTTCGGACAACGCTACACCTATGTTTGGGAAACTCGCCGATCGCTGGCGCAGGTCCCCACACCATAGGCTCCAGATGGAGCAGCGTGGTGTCCTGGTCCAAGGAGCGCAGGAGAACCGAACTCATGTAGATCCCCTCCCCTCCCTCCTCCACCGCCTAATCCTCCTCCTGCTCCATGCTTAACCGTACTCCCTCCTGTGCCCCTCCTCTTCCATATCATCATCATCCTTCCCTCCCTCCTCCCTCCTCCCTCCTCCCTCCTCCGCCCCCGACCGAGGTAAGCTCCGTGGGGTCCTTCGTGCCCCACCCCGGCCTGCGGGCGTCGCCGCTCCACGCGGTGCGGGCCGGCAGGAGCGGCGGAGGTTCGCAGGCGCCTCCCGAGGAGCCGAGCTTCCTTTGCGCGCAGGGTGGCGGCGGCGAGGATGGCGGCGGCGGCGACGGCGGCAACGACGAGGGCGAGGGGGAGAAGAAGGAAGGAAGAGGGAGGAGGGAGGAGGGAGGAGGGAGGAGTGGGGAGGAGCCGAAGGAGGAGGAGAAGGAGGAGGAGGAGAAGGAAGAAGGGAAAAGGAGGGAGCGGGGAGGAGGAGGAGGAGGAGGAGGAGGAGGAGGAGGAGGAGAGGAGGAGGGAGGAGGAGAAGGAGGAGGGAGGGAGGGAGTAGGGAGAGAGGGAAGGAGGGAGGGGAGGAGGGCGGGAGGGCTGGAGAGAAAGAGAGAGAGAGAGAGAGAGAGAGCGAGGGGGGGAGGAGGAGAAGAAAGGGGAGCAGCAGCAGCAGCAGCAGAAGGAAATAGGAGGAGGTGGAGGAAAAGGAAGGCGAGAGGAGGGGAAGGGGGAGGAGGAGGAGGACGAGAGGGACGTGGAGAAATTTGGCAGGAGAAGGCACAAGAGAAGGAGGAGGAGAATGCGGAAATGGAGGGGAAGGGGGAGGGGAGGGGGGGAGGGGGAGGAGGAGGAGGAGGAGGAGGAGGAGGAGGAGGAGGAGGAGGAGGAGGAGGAGGAGGAGAAGAGGAGCAGCAGCAGCAGCAGCAGAGGCAGCATCAGCAGCAGCGAGAGGAGGGCACCTCCTCTGGAGCCTAGCGTTGTGTTTCTTGGCCCTGCTTCTCGCCTCTCACCGAGGGGTGCCGACGGTGCCCAGGCGGCGAACACCGCTTGCACGACAGGACGTTGTCTAGACATACTGTAGTCAGTTCCAGCAGCTGGCACGACACGATTCAAATTCTGTGCGTGGCGCGTGTCACGCAAGAAACATGCGAGGGGCAGGTTTTGCATATTGGGCCACGCGTGCATCGACAGTTGTACCCAGCCGTTTCAACTTGAAGCAGTTCAGTTGTCACCTCATCTGGACGCTCAGAGATCCCAGAGCCACCTCCAGAATACTTTTGAAGACCTCCGGACAATAACGCTGAAGAATTCGGTATAACGGTATGATTTAATGTGTTGACGCTTCGCGTATCCCCACCAGTTTTATTATTGCAGGTGCGTTGCTTGTTGTAGCTAATTCGCCTCGCCTGCTGGCCCAGACGACGCCTACCGCTCCCTGTCCGCTGCCTCGGAGCCGCCGACCAAAAAAGTATCCCCACCAGCCCATCCAGAAGCGATACCCAGGCAAACAAGCATAGGTAGGAAGTGCAGGAGCAAGATTTGAGGCAGCCGTTATCTGTCGAATGAGCAGTAGGATAGAGGATTAAATGGAGGAGGAGGAGCAGCAGCAGCAGCAGCAGAAGGAGGTGCAGGAGGAGGAGCCGACGACTCTTGGAAGGCTTTGAGAAGCCTCTTGGGGCGGCTGGGGGGCATCTTGGTGGGCCCAGGGCAGTCTGTAAGCGTCTTGAGTGCCTTGGGGATCCTCTTGGGGCCTCTTGGGGGTCTCTTGGGAGCCTCTTGGAGGTCCCTTGGGCACCTCTTGGAGGCCCCTTGGGCGCCTCTTGGGGCTGAGCGTTCTTGGGGGCTTAAGGGGCGCTCTTGGAGCCATCCTGAAAAAATCCATCAAAGAATAGGGGAGCTTCAATTAGGGTCCCCCCTCGGGAGCCCAAAGAAGCGCCTCTTGGGGCGCTCTTGGGGCCGTCTTAGGGGGCCTCTTGGGCCCCTCTTGGACCATCTTGGAGCCATCCGGAGGCCTCGAAAGGCCATCGGAAGCGAAAGGACGAGAAAGCAAACAACAGTGTTTTGCTCAAGTTGTTGGAAGGAGTTGGGCATCTTGGCGGCCTCCTGGGGAGGCTCCGTGGCCATCTGGAGCCGTCTTGGAGCGAGGTCAGATTGGGCTCTCTCAGGCGCTCTTGGAGCCGTCTTGGGCCATCTTGGACGCTCCAACCCCTCGCGGAACCCCCCGTCCAAGTCCAGGGGAGAGGGCAAGGGGGAGGGGTAACCCCCGCGCCGAAGGGGAAGGGTTGGAAGAGGAGCCTCTGTAGACCGCCTACGCCCAGAGGGCTGGTGGGATTGTGATGTGACGGGCACGTGTGGGCTGCATGGTGATGTCATTGTAAGATTGAGCACGGGCACCGCAGCTGTTTGCGCTACGAGTGTACACCCAAGCAAGTACACCCGCGCAGAAAGGGGAGCGGGAGCAGGAGGAAGAGGGCGCCTCCTCAGGAGCCTAGGCTCGGTTGCGCCCCCGAGCGCGGCTCACCCCGCCTCGTAACTACTTCAGTTGTATCCACGGGCGGCGTTCGTCCGTCTCGAGATTGGTGCCGTGTGTGATCCACATGCTGCGTGCGGCGCGTGCCAGAAAAGGCTTCACTCCAGAGCTGACGCCCCCGCCAATGATTCAACAAGAGCTGGCCTGTCACCTCCGCCACATCGCCTCGCCGCCTCCTCCCTGCACTCCGCTCCATGCCGCGGGCGGCCTCCCCCCCCCTCTCCTCCTCTGTGCTTCCTGGCCTCGGTTTCGGCCATGCTTCGGCTCACGCGGCCTTTCCCGAGAGAAACCAGGAATGGCCCAGGTAGATTTCTGTGCCAGAATTCGGCTTAACCTCCTACCCCTCATCATCATCGTCATCATCATCAGCATCATCATCATCATCATCATCATCATCATCATCATCATCATCATCATCCTCATCCTCATCCTCATCCTCATCCTCATCCTCATCCTCATCCTCATCAGCAGCAGCAGCAGCTGCAGCATCAGCAGCAGCATCATCACCATCACCTTATCATCATCATCAGCAGCAGCATCGTCGTCGTCATCACCATCACCAGCAGCATCGGATTCCTACTCATTCCCACGTGTTTCCTCCTCCTCCTCGCCCTCGTCCTCCTGACCCTTCTTATCCTGATCCTCCCATCATCATGCTCCTCCTCCAGCTTCTCTTCCAGCTCCTGGTCCTCATCCTCCTGCTCATGATTATCATGCTCCCCCTCCTGCTCCCCCTCGTCCTAAAGCTCAAACTCGCCCTGAATATCCTCCAGATGATCTTCCTAGCTCCCCTTACCTCGTCAACATGTGTGGCTGATGCCGCCGCGTGTTGAACCGCAAGAGCGGTTTTCGAGAGTAATGTATTAATTGCATTCGAATAGTTCAAAGCGTCGGCTTCTGGTCTGCCAGATCCTGGATTTGCAATCTTCGTCGCGCGTCCCGTTTGCATCAATCACAAGACGACACGTGCCGTTGGTATTCAAGTTGCGTCGTATGGTTTCCGAGTCAGATGAACCATATGCCAAGTGGGGAGCTCCGCAGTCTAAATGACGATTTCACGTTCCCCGATCCAGACGTGGTTACCGCCAGACGCAAGTAGGTTCGCTGGTCACATGGCTCGACAGATTGAGGATGTCACATGCCGTTTAACATCACAGGTGTTACAGTGGCATTGTCAGCGTGTTGCTCGTCAGAACGTCTTCAGAGCTTCGGACGGGCAGGGCGTTTCAAGGTTTAGCCCACAGAGTTAAGAAGGCCAATTCGGTAGTGCTTTCGACACGGCGAGCCATGACTGGATGAAAGTGGTTACAAGCAGGCGCGATTGGATCGGCATGCCGTGTGGAAGTCTGCGGAAACCTCATCATAGTTTGTCTGTCTTTGAGAGCAAATTGTTAACGCTTCGTGTCTCCCGACCAGCCCATCCAAAAACAGTCGCCAGGCGAGTTGCTTTGATGAGGGATCTGTAGCAGCAACGACACCCACGATGACGACAGGAGTAATCCATCGAGGCCTTTGCCGGGCTTGCGCTCTGGGAGCCTTATGGAGGCCTCCTGGGGTCATCGCGGAGCCCTCTTGGGGCAATTTCATAGGCCGTTGAGGCCTTCGCGGGCTGTCTTGTGGGTCTCTTGGAGCACTCTTGGTTCTCTCTTGAGGGTTTCTTGGAGCCCTCTTGCACTCTCGGGGCCATCTTGGAGACCATCGATCAAAGAAATGAGGGTTATTCATCTCGGTCCCCCAGTCGGGGCATTCAAAATCACCTTCTGGGGCCGTCTTGGGCCCCTCTTGGGGCTATCTTGGGCCATCTTGGAGCCATCCAGAGGCCTCAGAAGCCCATCGACGGCGAAAACGCTAGAGAAAAACACAAATAATCAGAAGTTGAAAGGAGTTGGGCTTCTTCGAGGCGTCCGTGGGAGGCTCCGTGGCGTAGCCGTCTTGAGGAAGTCTTATGGCCTCTTGGAGGCGTGTTGGAGGGTGTGTTGGAGGGTATGTTGGGCTATCTTGAGCGATCTTGGAGGCGATCTTGGGCTATCGGGAGCCGTCTTGGGACCATCTTGGACCCAAAGGGACCCTCTGACATCTGTCGGGACGCCTTGTGCACACCTTGGGTGGGCCTGGGGGGAGGGGTCAAGCTACAGGAAGCCGCAAGCCACGTCGCTCACTCCCACCAGCCATCCCACTACAGAAGTAGCAGTCGAGTCTCAGCACGGGCAGGGGCCGCCATCGACAACCTTTTGTTATCGAGCGTCCCACCCTCCACGGGGGGAAGTGGCAGTCGGAACCAGTCCAGGAAAGCCAGCCGTCGGATGTCAGAGGCAGGGCCAACCTCCATCGACGTCGCCATCCCGCCGAACAGGGCTGGAACACCAGGGGCCGCCACCGACAACCATCAGGAACCAGTGCAGACGCCAGCCAGGTGCGCGATGCCGCGAGGTGCGCCGCACGTGCCAGGTGCGCCACGCGCACCAGATGCGCCACATTGGGCAGCAGGTCGACCGGCCCACCATCCCTGTTCGGGTGTTGCTAGAAGTACCCCTGGCCCAAGGGACCCCCAGGATTCTCGGGGTGGCCCAGACGGCCTCCAGGGCACCCCTCACGAGGCCCAGGGGGCCCCAGGTACTCCAAAATAATGCAAAAAGCTGGGTGCACCTTAGACCAGGGGCACTTCTAGCAACACCCGACCTGTCCACAACGAATGCAAAGGGACGGCGGGTTTGCGGGCATTGTGTGTTGCGTTTGGGTGTGCAACCGCATTCACTCTGCACTTGACAGGAATAGTAGGCTTGCACACAGCAGGCAGCATGTCGCCCCCCCCCCACCGTCCCTGGCAGACTGAACCTGGTATTTTGCCCGTTGAAGCGGATGGTGGGCCTGCACGCAGCAGGCGATGTGCTGGCCCCCCGCCGTCCTTGACGGAAGCATGCAGCGTGATCGCGGGGCGCCCGCGCATGATCCAGACAGGCTTTGGTGCAAAGTGCACGTTGTAGCGTTTCTGCTGCAAGGGATATTTGGGGGGGGCTGGCCTTGCACACAGTTTGTTGTTGCCGAGGGGTACTCTTAGAGTGTCTCAAGGGCAGATGTGAGAAAAAGCTGTGCGTTCGAAGGACGATTCCGCCGACAGGGAATACGCCGTCCCTGCCAAAAACGAATGCAAAGCGACCGCGGGGCGCCCGCGCATGATGCAGTTTCTGGTGCAAAGTGCATGTTGCACTGTTTTTTGACAGGGTTGGCGGCGGGGTGGTGGCATGGTCCCGATTTTGTCGGCGGTCGGGTGGGGGAGGGGTGTATGTCAATGAGGAACAGTGATAAACCCATCCCCGAAGGGGACGGGGGGTGGAAGAGGAGGTTCTGGACTCCCTCAAAGGTTGGCGGGACTTTAACCACCATGAAACGCTGTTCCTTTTTAGATATTCTCAGGTCGATGAACAGCAGTAGCCATTTCAAGACAGCTCGCTTCCAATCTTCGCATGTCATTCGACGCGTACCCCCCGAACCCTCGACACCCGCCCTCTTTGTGTGCTATGCCAGCTATTGGGGAAAACCCGACAAGGCCAGAGAGGCGGATCGGGCGGGCGGACCCGAACGGGCGGGTCCGGTGGGCAGACCCTAAGAGGCGGGTCGGGCGGGCGGACCCGAGCGAGCGGGCAGGGCGGGCGGCGGGACACTAAAGCGCGAGGGCTTCTATGCAAGTGAGAGAGCGGACCCTCACGGGCGGGTTTGGTGGCCGGGTCATTAAGCTGGCCATGCTGGGCAACCGGACGCTGACAGGCGGGCCGGGCGGGCGGGACATTAAAACGGGCGAGGCGGGCTTCCAAGCAAACGAAGGGGTGAACCTAGCGGCCAGCTCGGGGGGGCGGAACCTACCAGGGCTTTGGGCGGAATTTTGAAAAGGGCGGGCCGATTTCGAAGCAAACGAAAGGGTGGACCTAATGGCCGGGTCGGGCGGGCGGACCCTGGCAGCCTTGCCAGGGCGAGCTTTGAGTGGATCGTGTGGACGTCCGAGGCGAGTCCTGGGTAGAAGTGTCATTGTTGATTGACGAGAGCGCGATTATTTTGTTACATGCGAGGAAGTCCGATGCAAGAGCGCGATTCTTGAGCGACGAGAACGCCGTTCTTAAATAAATCCAAACGACGACTCAAGCGAGAGTTCGACTCTTGAGAAAATTGCGAAGAGGTCTCTAGTGAGAGCGCGATTCCTCAATAAGTTGCGAGGACTTCTCAAGCGGGAGCCGTTGTTGTTTTTGTTGTTGCTGTTATTGTTGTTGTGATCTGGCTGTTCAACAGTACAGTTTGGGCCCGAAGATACTCCTTGATAAAAGCCTGGTGCGAGAGCCGACAGGACCACTCCAATTGAGAACACACGGTGCGCACCGACAGGGGATTAATCTTAATTGTTCTGCAGAATGAGGATTCAACATTATAGTGCTTCTCCACCTCCTCCTCCTCCGCCTCCTCTTCCCTCCTCCTCCTCCTTTTCCTTCTCATCCTCTTCCTCGTCCTTTCCCCGTCTCCCCCACCAAGGGAGAGGTGGAGCAGGAGGGGGGAAGAGCACAAGGGAACCAGATCCGACAACGTCGTGTTGTTCTTTCGTCTCCTCCTCCTCCTCCTCCTCCTCCTCCTCCTCCTCCTCCTCCTCCTCGTCCTCCTCCTGCTTCTCCTCCTCCTCCTCTTCCTCCTCCTCCTCCTCCTCCTCCTCCTCTTCCTGCTCGCAGGGGCAGGTGCGGCGTCCGTCATGAGCCACGGGCCGCATCTGACGGTTTGGCGATTTCCGGTTTCGTCCCCTAGAGCTCTTTTTGCGACGTTCTTGATAGGCGGTAGCTTGCAGGCGAGTAGCAGCAGCAGACGAACTCCCACGGGCCTGATCCCGATCCTCCTCATCCTCCTCCTCTTCCTCCTTCTCCTCCTCACCCTCTCTCCTTCTTCCCCCACCAGGGGAAAGGTGGAGCAGGAGTGCGTCGGGAAGAGAAGGAAAGCGGACGACGACGACGACGACGACGACGACGACGACGACGACGACGACGACGACTACGACTACGATTACGATTACGACGACGACGACGACGACGACGACGACGACGACGACGACGACGACGACGACGACGGCGTCGGCGACGACGACGCCGCTGCCGACGGCGAAGAAGAGACCACGGCGACGACGCCGCCGCCGCCGCCGACGACGACGACGACGACGACGACGAAGAGACGACGGCGAAGAGACGACGACGATGACGCCCTCCGCCCCGGCGCCACGAGCCGCCGCTGCCCGACCCCGAGCTGACCCCCCGGCCGCCGAGCGCCGCGGCGAGCGGCGACGACCCGTTGCAGGCGGGCTGCCGCCGGGGGGGCCCCTCCTCCACCATGTCCTGATTGATCCGCCTTCCTCTCTTCCCTCCTCCTCCTCCTCCTCACCCTCCTCCTCCCGCCTTCCTCCTCATCCTACTCCTCCTGCTCCCGGCTTCCTCGCTTCCTCCTCCTCCTCCTCCTCCATCCTCCTCCTCCTCCTCTCCTCGTCATCATCATCATCATCATCATCACACATCATCATCATCATCATCATCATCATCATCATCATCATCATCATCATCATCATCATCATCATCATCGTCTTCATCCTCTTCTCTCTCCTCCTCCCCTCTCTCCTCCTCCTCCTCCCTCCTCTCCTCCTCCTCCTCCTCCCTCCTCCTCCTCCTCCTCTTCCTCCTCCTCCTCCTCCTCCTCCTCCTCCTCCTCCTCCTCCTCCTCCTCCTCCTCCTCCTCCCCCTCCTCCTCCTCCTCCTCTTCCTCCTCCTCCTCCTCCTCTTCCTCCTCCTCCTCATCCTCCTCCCCTCTGCGTTGAAACTGTTGCTCAAGCCACTTCGGTGCAAACCGTAGGATCGAGTGGCAGGCCAGTTGTTTTCCCCAGCGCGCCCATTGCCGCTGGGCGCCATCTCCGGGCGCCCCCTTGCGGCGGCCGTGGCGTCTTCATCAAGTCGTTCGGCATGGGGCTTGCGCGTGCTCCGAGTGGTATTCGAGGCGCTCGGCAAGTGCCCAGGTCCTCCTGGCTGGTCTCCTGTTTGCGCCCGTTCCTGTTGGTTTTCGAGGCGTCTGGCAAGGGTCCGCCTCCCCAAGGTTGGTTTCCGAGGCGTTCGACAGGTGGCATGCGCCAGATCTCCTGCAGCACATTAGACGCCCAGGAGGTCGCAACGCAGCAGTGCAAGGATGAAGGTTGCTCATGAGAGAAAGTGGCCACGTGGGCCATGAAGGATAAGGATGCTCACTTCAAACACATCGGCGCGCCCTTCGGGGTTTCAGGCCAGGCGGCCAGGCAGTTCCCTTCGCCATGTTCGCTATTTGCCGATAGTCGTTCGAGTTCTGCGGTCGTTCCACCCTCGCCTTCTTCCTCCTCGAGCGAGGGCACTCAAGCCAATTGGGCCCGAGCATTTCGCACAGGCCCGATCATTGTATCCTTTCGGTGCGCTTGAGGGATAGCCTTCCGGCAACGCGCATGTTGGAAGGTGAACGACAGCAGATAGTATAGTTTTGTAGCAGACATGGTTCCTCCTGCAAGCGTGCACGGCAGTTCCCATGGCGCGCCGAGGCCCTGGAGTGGGTGCGATGATTGCAAGACGTGCGGGTACAATGATAAATTGGCCGCGCGCAATCGCCAGTGCCCGAATTGCAGCAAGGCGGCCCGCCGCTTCGAGCCAAGGCCCCCCGACCGAAAGATGTCCGCCTCGACTTAGGTGGAGGCGCTCAAGGGCGGGGGCCAGGGCAGCAGCCGAGGGCAGGGAGTTCCCCCCAGCCCACGCGCGCGCAGCCCTCGGCGCGGTGGCAGCAACAAGACCCCGCAGCTGCAGCAGCAGCTGGATTTGCTGTCACAGGCCGCCTAAGCCACTGACGACGCGGCGTTCAAGGCCACAACCTTCGAGCAGCAGGAGCGCCGTCGGCAGCAGGGGACGACGGCAGTCGAGTCGGATGCGGAGTCGGCCCGCAATGCTGATGGAGCTTTCCGCGCGGCAGCTCACCGCCACAAGCAGCTCGCGACGCAGGTCTTCCGCCTCCGCGAGCAGCTGCAGGGGGGCGGATGCCAAGGAGCAGCAGGCCGCGGAGGTTCTGACGCGAACGGGGGCCGAGAAAAGAGCAGCGAACGCGCTCACCAAGGCCGAGGGGGTGGCAGCCGCGGCCACTCCCGGCCACAACGGTAGCGGCACCGAACAAGCCTCCCTGGAACAGCAAAATCGCAGCGTTCGACAAGTTCGATGCGCGAGGAGGCGAGGGAGAGGCAAGGTGCGATTCCGCGATCTCATGAGCAAGCTCGAGTCGCACCGCGCCGCCTTCGAGACGAAGGATAGCGAGTTGAGAGCGTTCCTGGACTAGGTCTCCAAGCTGAAGGCCGGCACCAAGGAGCGCACGGTCAGAAAGAGGAAGGGCGCCAACGAAGAGGCAGCCGCAGGTGGAAACCCCGGCGACGGAGCTGCGGCAGCTGCATCATCTGGGACATCAGCTGCCCAGGGTGCCACAGGGTCGACCGCAGAGGCTGGGGCTGAGATCGAACGGGCTGCGGAGGCGCTGTCCAACGCCAAGCTCGACGCCGCGGCAGCGGTCGAGCAGGCCGGCGGCGGCGAGGGCAGCAGCGAGGGCAGCGAGTCGCACGCAGCTCCTGGCAGCGACGGCCAGGGTGAGGAGCTGCGACCAGGGGGCGCCGACGACGGCCAGCAGTGCCCGCGTGAGTTCGGAGGCGCGGGAGTCGCCGAGTGGCGCCAGCACCTCATCGGCACAGCAGGGCCCCCCATCGGTGACCACTCACACCTCCGCGTCTCCGGGGAGCAGCGCACGCACTGCTGCGCCACCATTTTCCCCGGGGAGCGCCGCGTGCATGGGCGACAAGTCGCGGGGCTATCTCGTCGAGCAGTCGCGAGCGCATTCATCTCTCCCAGCTCGCGAGGCCCACGCCCGCGGCAAGGACGTGAACGAGCGGGCCCCAGGGGCCGCGCAGGGCTCGGCGACGTCGCTTGCCAACGGCGCCCGCCGAAAGGGCGGGCGGCGCTGAGCGCCAGTCCAGCAACGGGGGCGCGCCAACCAGGGCGGCGAGTGAATGCTGGCGCGCAGCCATTGAAATTCTTGGATTGTGGTCTCAGCTCGGTCGGCGCCAGGACTTCGCGCAGACGAAGGTCGCGAGTTCGACGGTTTCTCCCCGCGCCTCGCGCGCGCGCAGGGCGCCCCCCTCGCGGCGCGCACGGCGCGCGGGTTCCCAGGCATCGGCCCCCGTGCCGAGGCGCGCCCTGGCTCCGTCGCATCGGCAGTTAGCTCGCAGCGACCCAGCCTCCAAAGATTGCCACGGCGGGTCGGAATCTCACGCCGTCGCAGCTCAAGGCTTCCAGGTTCGTCGAAAACGCCATGGGCGCCATCGCGCTGTCAGAGGCTGAGCCCACGCGCGCGCCGGGCGAGAACAGACCCTCGCATCTCGGTTACGTCGTTACTTCAGAGGCGGCCAGATCATACATTGCAGGGCTCACGTCACGAGTTGGCGCCCCATGGAGGCCCCGTATAGCCTTCAATCTGGAGCTCATCTCTGAAGGCGGCCGTCTGCGCATCGGTTCTTGGACGCACCGCCGCAGCTTCCCGTCGCTCCCCGCCCTGCCCGTCAGCCAGCCCCAGGGTATAAATCTAGCCGGGCCAAAACGGAGAGGCCCGCGGCTCGGCAACCAGCTAGGCAGCGTAGGTTTCAGCATCCCCGGCGAAACATGGAGCGCTTAAAGGGGAAATGTGGGGCTCGCGCATGCGAGTTCATGTTTGTTCGTTGTTGCCGCCGCGCAATCCGTCGCGCATCCCCTTGTGCCGAGTCTTCGCGGCGGCATCAGGGGTCTCCTCGGCGCGCGGGCCCGGGCCCTCGAGCTCGCTGTCGCGCAGCGCCGCAGCCAGGCCCGCCCTGGACGGTCGCGCGCAGAGGGCCCCAGCTTCGCGCGGACATCGCCTCGGCGGCCACGCCATGACGAGCGGCGTCGCAACGAGGCAGGATCATCCGGCGGCGGACAAGAGGCCGCACAGCGGTAGATCCGCACGCCACGCATCGAGTTCGACAGGGCGGCACCAAGCAACAAGAGGCCCCTCCAGCCGATGCCGCGCGCTTGAAGGAGACAGCCCCCGAAGAGGGGCGCCAGGCAGCGGCGCCGCCAGACGGCCTCAGCTGGGCTGAGCGGGTGACCTTGCCAGCAGATCCGAGCGCGCTGGGAGCTGGTTCACCGAGGCAAGCAGCGACCGCGAGCGGCGGGCTGGCTCAGCGGAGCCAGCGGCGAGCAGCCAATCAGTCGTTGGCTGAGCTTCGGGAGCGGCGCGGAACAGAAGGCGCAGCTCAACCTTTCAATCGCGCACTGCGAGACCCACCGCCGCCACCTGCTGAGCACGTCGCGCAACACCCTCGTGACATTCTGATTCAGTAGCAGAGGGCCGGCACAGACTTCGGGCACTCGGGGGCCGCGAGCTCGGGGGACCGCCGGCGCTGGTCGATGACAACCGGCAGCGAAGCCGAGACGAATCCCCGCCAATACTCATAGGCGTTCAGTCATTAGAAGCTGGAAGGGGGACGAAGCAGACGGCCGCCACGTGAGGCGACCGACTCACGGCGCGCGACACGAGTCGTTTGCCCGACGTTGCGTTCGTGGAGTTGGCCGCGACCTGGGGGCGCGCGAGAGGCGCCAGTCGCGGCCGCGCCGGCCGCCGCTGGCGACGGGCGCGCTCCTCCCCGGGAATCACGCGGGCAACCGCGCGATCCGTCTGATGCCGCGCGCGGCGCGGCTCTGGCCACAGGCTCGCGAGCCGCGCCTGGGCCCGGGAGCGCGAGGCGCCGCGGGGCGCGGCCGTGCGAGGCAACGCGGCGCCGCGGGAACTTCCTCCGAGTGGCGGGCGGGGAAGCGGCGGCGAGGCGGGGCGCGGCCAATGGCCGCGGGCTGCTGGACATCGCCAGCTTCCATGACTCGATTGGTCGGCAGATGCCAGGGCGCGCGGCGCCGCGGCTGAAGTTCCCAGCGGGGGCGCAGGCGCCCCAGTTGCCGCGGTGCATATCGGCCAGATGCTCGCGGCAAGCAGGAGCCAACTCTTCGGCCTTCGCCGCGACGAGGTCAGCGGCGCAGGGCATGAGGTTAGGCGCGAGGCTTGCGAAGGTGGCCATTCCTTTCTTCGCGCAGCGCGCGGCAACGACGCGCGCGGGCATGTCACAGGCGCGAGGTCCACGGCGCACCATTCGGGGCCATTTAGTAGCGCGCCTCAGCCAGACTTGCGACATGTTAGAGGTCAACGCCTTAAGGGGCTTTCTCTTCCAAGAGAGTCGCCATCTGCACCAATTCGCGCAACGCTTGGGAGATGACAGGGAAGTTCGAGGTCCGAGGTCACCAGGTGCAGGCCGTGGCGCAGGCCCCATATCGCAGCGCCAAGTTCGGACAGGGGCGAGAAGCATCCGCGCGCGTCTTTCGGCCCGAGCGGCCAAGCGCACGCGCGCGTGCGAAGGTGGCCAGGCATGCGCGCGCGGAGCGCAGACATCTGATCACGGCGAGACTCGAACAGCAGGGTGCGATGGCAGTTGGCACGTACACTCATCACATACACGGCGTGCATGGCCAATGGCTAAATTCGAGGGATGCGCAGCTACCTTCATGATACGACGAGTCCCTGACTCCCTCGGCTATGCGTCGCTACGCTCCTGGATCTGAGGGCGCCCATTCGAGATCCTGCAGTACGCGTGCCACGGGAGTGCTTACGCACGCGGTTGCAAGCGCGGAAGCCCTGGCCACCCGTCGGGACAGAAGCGGAGCGCACGCGGCATTAGCTAGAGAAGTCCGCCGTCTGCCACCACAACAGCCGTGCCAGCATACTCGAGGCCCACAGGCGGCGGCGGTAGCATATCTCACGCAGGAAGTGTCGGGAAAGCAAGGCATGTCGGATTGGCAAGCACCTGACGATGGATCTGGCATGACGCATAGTTGGCGGTTCAGTTCAGAGACGCTGACAGGTCTCTCAGCAGCCGATGCGCTTTTAGAGTTCCCTTGGGAGTACGAGCGTACGACCAGGAACCGGCTCTGGCGCGACGCAGCGGAGCAATTCGGCGGAGCTGGAGCCCAGCTGAGCGCATGCAACTACTCGTACGGGATGTGGCTCTGGCAGCCCGAGGCGGGGCCCGACAGCAAGAAGCTGGCAGACATTATGTTGGCAGCCGAAGCTGGGACTGCGCGGCCGCGGGAGCAGCGGTCCGCCAGGGCCAAGCAGGCCATCTCATTTCTGCGCGTGAAGTGCCGCACTGAGAACGAGACGACTTCTCATCGTTGTTGGGTTTGCTCCAGGGCAGATCAACCATAATATTTATCGCGCAGCACATGAGTACACTTCGCGTGCGAACACCCAGCATGAGGAAGAGCTTCGTTTTTAGATGCGAGGTTTGACGCCTCCAGCGCGGACTGCGCCCCGCCCCCCAGGCCGAAATCAACTGGCGGCACGATGGCGCCCCTTGTTTCAGGCGCGGTGTGTTTCGGGGCTGGCTCTTTCAAGGGCCTCTCTACCTTTTTTTCTGGGGCGCCAGCGAGGGGGAAGACGCCAGCGACCCACGATTGCGCAGAGTAGGAGCAGGGCCAGTCCAGCACTAAGACTTGTGCCTTGGAATGCATTTGGAAAGTTCGGCGTGGGGGGGTCCCCGGGGACAGTGCCAGACTGTCGCCCGAGGTGAACTGTTTGCGTTGTACACAGCCTTGCTTGGATTGGACGACGTTGTGACTTCTATCACTAGCAACGCGAATGTCTTTTCAGGCTGGCAGTATGGGCGTGCCGTTGTGCCCGAGGGAGAGAACGCTTTCCTGTGATTGAGGATCGGCCAGGTCTCGCGTCGCAAAGCTAATATTCAGTGCACCGCCGTTTGTTTGCTCACTCTCACCAAGAGGCCGAAGACTTGCAAGGTCAAATATAAATATATACATATATGTATGTTGTGGTTGGCCGTGGGTAACACGGCAGTCGACCACTTGCTCGGCAGGTGTCGCAACCAAGGCGGTCCATATTCTTTGAGTAGATAGAGCACGCGCGCTTCAGAAAGAGAAGATGGTTTACAATCAAAATGCCTTCCCAGGGTTACCCTTGCATCGTTGCCTTCTCGGTCCATCCTTAACCACTTTCGATGGCCGGCCCCACTCGAAGAGCCTCGATATGGGCGTACAAGTGGCTTGCATCCTCACCGCGCGTCCTTGCTATCAGTTTTGATTGTAAGGCGAGACGTCAGACTTGTGAAGGCACCCCGTGCTTTGACCTGAGGACGGTTGACGGCATCTTGTATGGGCCTCCCTCTGAGCTTCGGGTGCACATTTGCGGGGGGGGGAGCTCACACAAGCCATCATTCGAAGTGTTATGGCGCGAACATCGCAGAGCGGATTTTGTCCGGAAAACGATAGGGTGGGCCCGGAGTGTCTTGGAGAATTTCGTTCCGGATTTCGAAGTGAATTTCGTGCGGATTTTTGTTTAGCCATGAATGAAGACCAAAAAAAATCTACGCGAAATTCACTTCGTTTTGCACGCGCCGGTTCGGGCAGAAATCCACGCAGAAATCCGCTGCAGCACGTCTGCAAGGCCGTTGTAATGAGAAATGCCAGCTGGGCCGGTGATGTGGTTTTGTGGTTCTTGTGATGCCTTCGCGGCACAACATGTGGCCGTGCCTCGAGACCCCTGCCCACGTCCAGAGGGTAATCGTAAGCACTTTCTCGCCGGAATCGCAAGGGTCCTGGCCTAAGGTTTACAGTAAAGTTGTAGAAGAACAGACGAGAGGCGATTCACTTTATATCGTAACCAACCTAGTCGCAATATCTGTAACTCCGTAATTCCTCGAGCCACGGCGCGGAGACGAGAGCACAGTCATGATATGTGCGGTTCCTCCTCCTTTCTCCTCCTCCTCATTCCTCCTCCTCCTCCTCCTCCTCCTCCTCCTCCTCCTCCTCCTCCTCATTCCTCCTTCCACCTCCTCCTCCTCCTCCTCCTCCTCCTCCTCCTCTCCTCCTCCTCCTCCTCCTCCTCCTCCTCCTCCTCCTCATTCCTCCTCATTCCTCCTCCCTACTCCCTCCTCCCTCCTCCCTCCTCCCGTTCCTCCTCCGAGTTGGCGACAGGACAGTTTCGTCCCCCACCCCGCGCTGAGCGTCCCCGACCACACCCTGCAGTCGGACGCGGACTGCGGGGCCCACCTGCTCCAGGACGCGGCCGCGCCCCGAGGCCCGCGGACGCGCAGGTGCGGACGGAGGGGGCCTCGAAGCTCGCACGACACGGCCGTGTTCGCAGCGGGCGCTCCTCCTCCACCTCCTCCTCCTCCTCCTCCTCCTCCACCTCCTCCTCCTCCCTGCTCCTCCCCTCCTCCTCCTCTCCTCCTCCTCCTCCTCCTCCTCCTCCTCCTCCTCCTCCTCCTCCTCCTCCTCCTCCTCCTCCTCCTCCTCCTCCTCCTCCTCCTCCTCCTCCTCCTCCTCCTCCTCCTCCTCCTCCTCCTCCTCCTCCTCGCGCGGCGTCGGGCGCCCGGGCCCTCACAGCTCGATATCCGCCTCGGAGGAACGCATGCCGCAGGAGGACGGGGCCCCCGGGGCTCCCGGTCGTGGCGGTTCGCGGCGCGGCAGCTCTGTTCGCACCCCGGGAGCTCATCGGGGAAGAGGGAGCGGAGCAGGCACATCGTGGAGACCCATGCCAAGATCGAGCCGCCTCGGAGAAGCATGCCGCGGGAGGACGGGGCCTCTGGGGCTCCCGGTCGTGGTGGTTCGCGGCGCTGCAGCTCTGCTCGCACCCCGTGAGCTCATCGGGGAAGTGATCGGGGGCGGAAGAGAGGGGGGTGATGACTAGGGGGGGGATCTAATGGCGGGGGCCATGATATTTCCTCAGATGTCATGGCGCCTCTTCTTGCTACATCACGTCCCCAGCCCTCCCCTTGGGCCGCGCACATGCCGCCGGTCATGATTTGCACCCCCCCCTCTTGGACACCCCCCTCTTGGCCGCTCTCAAAGTGAGAGCGGAGCATGCATGCAGTGGAGGCCCATGCCAAGAACGCCATGCTTGCCTCCAGGGTGCCCTTGGGTTTCGATGGCTTTGCGGTGGAGAGCGTGACTTCCCACACCAAAAATCAATGGACGCCTTGGGGTCTCAGGGTTGGGTTTCTTGTGGAAGGTTTCTTGTGGTCGGTCCCCTACTGTATGGCTTTGCCTAAGGGCAAAGCCATATTGGCCGTCGTGGGTGCTGTGCCTGGTCCTCGCTGGCCTTCTGGGGGGGTCCCTGGCTTTGTTTCCTTACCAAGGCCTTCCCAAGGGGTTCTCCAGGCTGGTTTCCTTACAGCGGCCCTGGGTTCCCTGGTCTGGTTGCCTGCTTTTGTCTCCAGACAAGGCGTTGCGAAGGGTTCCCCAGTCTGGTACCCTGCTTGGGTTCCTCAGTCCCCCCGGTCTTGTTCCTCGGGTTCCCCCAAGTTGGTCCTTCCTCGGGTTCCCCGGTCTGGTTTCGTGCTCGGGTTCTTCGGGTTCCCTGGTCTCGTTCTTTGTTCGTGTTCCCCCGGTCTCGTTTCTTGCTCGGTTTCTCGGGTTCCACGGTCGTGTTCTTTGGGCTCCTGGGCATTGCAAAGCAGTGCCAAGCATTGTGCCCATGCAATCGGAAGTCTTCCCCTAATTGGGGTCGCGCCGGGCTCATGTTTCAATGAAGCGGCAGGTTCGGTTGCGCGTAAGGGTGAAGCCTGGCCAGAGTGACCTCTGGTGCTGGCCCACAGGGGTCCCTCCAGTGTTGGTTTGCGCGCTCGGACTTGGCTCCATCGCGGCCCCCTGAAGCTGCGCACGAGAAACACTCTTGCCCAGTGCCACTCTTTCGAATAGCGGGTACCGTCGGAGCGAGGCGAAAGAGCATGTTCGGTTGGTGGAGGGTACCTGATGTGTTTCGTGTTGGTTTGCATGTTCTTGAGCAATTTGTTGAAGGGTACCCTCGAATGTTTGTGGGGAGGAGCTCGGGGCCAGTGGGCTTAGGGTTGCGTGGCCGACCGACTGCTTAAGGCTTCGGGCTAGAGGTGTCACAATGGTCAGTCAGTTAAGTTCGGGCGACTCTTCGGAAGGGACCCTCGGTGACCTAATGTTTTGGGGGCCCTTTGCCGGCGCTGGGGCCTATGTTCGTGACGCATGTGGTTATGTTCTTGCTCCGACTGCATCATCGTCATCATCATCAGCAGCATCATCAGCAGCATCGGTACCCGTAGCCGTTTCGGCGCAAGTGCCATCCCCCTCGCCCCGCGCGCGTGGGACCCGAGCGGCGACTCTGCGTGCGCGGAGGTCATGTTTTCATGCGGCGCGCTGTCCTGGCAGCACTCACCGTCGCCATCGCGGTGCACGTCCTCACCCCTGTCTCGGCCGTCGTTCTGACCGAGCCTTGGGGGCGGCCTGACCCGCGAACAGTGGCGTGTAAGAGAAATAATAAAAGTAACCCTAAAGTAAGTCAAAAGTAACTTTCGGCTCATTTGGAAAAGTAAGTGCCCAAGTAACTGGTCAAGTGACCCTCGGGGCGGCATAAAGTAACACAGTAAGTATGTAAGATGGCCCATGCTTTGTGGAAAAAAGGTCAGCCCTCAGAACAGATTCGTGCGGCTACGGCTCGTAGTTAGCACGCGATTGCAATTTCTTGTTGTTGCCCCGCAGTGGCATCTTATCATGCGCCGCTGCCCCAATCATATAATCAGGAGAGAGAAAGAAATATGGGCGTGGGTGGAGCACGCTCTCTCTACCCAACCCCTGAATATGCTTTCTTCGTCAACCTTCCTCGCCCTTCTTCAGTCCTGCCCATCCCCGCCTTCTCCCGCCCCCGCAGCCACTCGGGCGCCTTATTCGGGGACCTTCGTCGAAACCTAATAGTTTTGTTTGATAGGCTTGGCGGTTCGTTCTTCCGTGGGTGACCTACTTGTCGACGTGGGCTTTCCTGCCCAACGATTTACTTAGACGCTTATGTTGTCAGGTGTGCCCAAGTTCCTTGTAAGCGGCGACGGCAGCTACGCGCGCACATACCTATCGCAGTGGCTGTCTGTTTCTCCCGCCCCTTGGTCACGTAATACCCGCTGCGCGTATACACTACCCCTGATAATGATTTTCTCACGTTGCCCTCGCCCCACGCCATAGACCCCTCCCCCGAAAAAAATAATAACACTGGGGTGGGATGAGGGCTGCCCCAGACGGCCCATGGACCCCACAAGCACTTTGGGCGTAGGTGGTTCAACGAGTCAGTTATGACAACCCCCGTCTTCCCCCTTTGGGGGGGGGGGCCATCCCGCATGCACTCTCCCCAAAGATCTGGACGATGAGTTTCTCGAGGTGTCCGACTGTCCTTTCTGGCCCAAGATGGCTCCAACATGGCCTCGGAGAGCCCAAATGTTACCTCCGAGATCCAGAAGCCCCAATCTGACTCCAGATGGCTCCAAGGTGCATCCAGGAGGCCCGCTCCAAGGCTGCCCCAAGTTGCCACAGAGCCTCCGAGGGATAACTCCGAGATGCCCAATCCTTCCAAATCATACGGGAAACCAATGATGCGCGCATTCTCCGAGATTCGCTTCCGATCGGCTTTGGACGCCTCGAGAAAGCTCTGAGATCGGCAAAGAGAGCACCAGGAGGGACCCTGGCGCGCACGTAGGTTGGGCGAGGAGGATGGTACTGGAGGGGAAATTGGAGGGAGGGCCGGAGGAGGGTTGGAGACGGAGTTGGAGGGGGGATAGGAGCGAGGGTTGGGAGAAGGTTGGAGGGAGGTTTGGAGGGAGGGTTGGAAGGAGCCTTGGAGAAGGGGTCGGAGGGAGAGCGGGAGCGAGGGTTGGAAGGAGGGTTGGACGAAGGATTTCAGGGATGGTTTGGAGGGAGGGTTGGAGAGGGGGTCGGAAGGAGGGTTAGAGGGAGGGCTGGAGGCGAAAATGCTGAAGGGAAAGACTTTCAGCAGGTTGGATGGCGAAGATGCTGGATAGGTGGAGGCGGAGAGAGGGAGGACGAGTTCTTCCTTCTCCTCCTGCCCCCCCTCTCCGGAGGTGGAAGCGGAGGGATGGAGACGGAGGGAGGGGAGATGAGCGCCCTCCCATCCGCCTATTCTTATTCTTCGGATGCGGATAAAGAAGTAGAGGCGGAGGCGGAGACGGGGGGAGAGAGGCGGAGGCGGAGGGAGGGGGGCGGAGAGAGGGAGGCAGTATCTGGCAAGAGATGCAGGACGAGGAGGGAAAAGGCGACCTTCTCCTCCGCCTCCTCCTCTCCCTCCTCCTCCCCCTGCTCCCCCCCCCCTCTGCCCCCCTGCCCCCCCCCCCCCCCTTCCTCCCCCCTTTCTCCTCTCCTCCTCGCCCTCCCCCCCCCCCGCTCTGGGCGCCTGGAGATACGCGGGGCGACCGAATTTCCGCCCCCGACGGTTTGGAAAGTAACTCAGCCGACCTACTTTCGATTCCGCATTCCAGGCCCGAGTTACTTTCGGAGTTACTTTAGAGCTACTCTTGAATTACTTTTTCGCTCACGGCGATTAAAAGTAACTCCCCAAGTAGGTCGGCAAGTAACTCCCGAAGTAGGTCGCCCCGAAAAGTAATTCCCGAAGTAACCCCCAAAGTGACTCCAGACGCGCGGGCGTTGAGAAGTAAGTCGCCAGCCCTTTCAGCCGCCCCAGCCTCTCCGAAAAGTAAGTCCCAAAGTAACTCCCAAAGTAACTCAGCTGTCGATTTACCGATAAGATCCGACGATCAGACATCGGAGAGGTAACTCAGAAGAAACTCCAAGGTAACTCAGAAGTACCGCAAAAGTAACTCAACTGTGACTCCTACGTAATTCAAACGTAATTCAAAAGTAACTCCAAACTAAATCAAACGTAACTCCAAAGTAACTCCAACGTAAATCCAAAGTAACTCTAACGTAACTCAAAAGTAACTCCAAAGTAACTCCAAAGTAACTCAAACGTAACTCAAGCTTACCCACAGCAACTCAAAATAAACTCAAAAGTAACTCCAAAGTAGCTGAAAAGTAACTCAAGCTCTCCCAAAGTAACTCAAAAGTAACTCCAAAGTAACTCCAAAGTAATTCAAAGGTAACTCCAAAGTAACCCCCCCCCCCTTCAACCCTCCTTCCAGCCCTCCCTCCAGCCCCCTCTTCAATCCTCCCTCGACCCCCCCATCCAACCCTCCCACCAACCCTCCTTCCAACCTCCCTCTGGCTCCCCCTCCAACCCCCTCTCCAACCTTCCCCCGACACTCCAACTCCTTCCTCCAACCCTCTCTCCAACACTCTGTGCAGCCCTCCCTCCAAACCCCCTCCACACCCCCTCCAACCTTCCCTCCAATCACCCCTCCAACACCAGCCTCCTCGCCCGACCTATAAGCGCGCCAGGGCAACTCTCGGCGCTCTCTTTGGCGATCTCAGAGCCGTCTTGAGGCGCCCAAAGCCGATCGGAAGTGAAACGGTGAAAATGAAGGCATTATTGGTTCCCTTGCGTTTTGGAAGGATGGGGCATCTCGGAGGTATCCTTTGGAGGCTCTGTGGCCACTTCGGGCCGTCTTGGAACGGTCTTGGGGCCTCGTGGATGCACCTTAGAGCCATCTGGAGCCATATTGGGGTGTATTGAGCCATCTTGGAGGTAATGGCGGGCTCTCCGAGGCCATGTTGGAATCATCTCGGGCCAGAAAGGACCACCTGACACCTCGAGATCCCCTCCGTCCACATCCAGAGGGGGGGTGTATGGGGGGGGCAACCCCTGCCCGAAGGGGAAGACGGTAGGGGTGTAATAACTTCTTCGTGGAACCACCTACGCCCAGAGGGCTGGTGGGGTCCGTGGGCCGTCTTGGGAAGCCCTCATCCCACCTCATTGTTGTTTTTTTCGTTCTGGGAGGGGCCCATGGAGTGGGCCGAAGGCAACATAAAAGAAGCATCCCCAGGGAAAGTTCGTGCGCGCGGCGAATGCCACTTCGCCAGAGGGCGGGGAAGACAGACAGCCACCGCGATGGGTGAGTGCGCGCGCCGATGCCTTCCTAGCTAAAAAGCACCGTCGGGCCAACATGGCAAAGTAACTGTCAAAGTAAGTGGTCGGGTAGGTCAGCCCACGTCGAAACGCAGGTCATGCACGCAAGCAAACGCATCCCAATATTTCAACAACGCGCGCGAGTTCGACGAGGGCCTCCGAGAGAGGCGCCCAAAGAACTGCGGGGGAGTCGTAAGGAAGGGATGGAAAGGGACGGGATAAGGGCGAGGACGGCGGACGAAGAAAGCAGACTGAGGATAGGGAAGGGAGACCGTCTTCCATCCACACCCCATCTTTCTTCTCCTCCCTTGTCTCTGCTTTCTTCCTCACCCCTCCTCGTCCTTCCCATTCTGGGACAACGGCAAGAGAACTCCGATTTGGGGCAACGGCGAATCGTGACTACGAGAACGTGGTTTGAATTCCCACCTATGGATCAGAACGCATGGACCATCTTACATACTTACTTTGTTAGTTTATGCCGACCCGAGGGTTACTTGACCAGTTATTTGGGCACTTACTTTTCCAAATGAGCCGCAAGTTACTTTTGAGCCACTTTAGGGTTACTTTTATTATTTCTCTTAGACGCCACTGTTCGCGGGTCAGACCGACCCGAAACCGAGCCTATGATTCGCCCACGCGGCGCGCGCTCCCTCGACGTGCTCAAGCGGCGAGCTGATCGTGCACGAGCGCGGGGCTGCATCCGGAGCAAGCCGTGCGGCCAACAGCTCATCGCCGTTCCCGCCGCGATCACATCCGAAGCCATGGCCCTCGTCGAAGCGACGGCCCGCTCGCGCCCCATCGAGATCGCGACGGGTGCACCGCAGGAACGGCTCCGAGACCTGCGCCGCACGATCCTCTCCTCCCAGGGCCTCATATCACGCAGTCCATCGCAGATGAGTTCTTGCAGTGGAACAAAGCTGGCAACATCGCGCGGCATTATAATTGGCTGCAGCCCGACAGGAAGCAGTCTCGCAAGGCGTGGGCCGACCCCCTCGACGAGAACACTCCCGAGAGCGATGGCACCGAGTACCAGGCCGACTCCATGAGCCGGGAACCCGTTCGAGGCGTGCTGGGTCATCCAGCCATTCTGGCTCATCCCGCCCCTCGAGCAGCAGATCTTGGACCAGATTGATTCCAAGTTGCAGGCGGGCTTCACGCTGATGTCGGACTCGGACTCCTACACCAAGCAGCTGCCCTCCCTCCTCCTCAATGCGGTCCAGCCCATCCTAGCGAAAGGCCGCCACCAACGATGTGCGCGCCGAGATAGCTTCCTCCATCAAGCAGTCCCCGCAAGAGATTGGCAAGCTCCCTGCTTTGAGAGGGGTTCAGGGGCATGGAGTGGTCGGTATGGTGCAACAAAGAGGTGGCATTTGAGACGCGTCTGTTTCCTCATCTGTGGTGTCATCTCGCTCTGGGAACAAAGACAAAACGAATATCGTGCGCTGGAAATAAAGAGATTGGCAAGCTCGATGGCGCCTTGCCCATCCTGAAGACCATCCGGACCCAGGTGGCCACGGATATCAACGGCATACGCGCCGGGCTCGCGACCTCCGCCGAGCAGGCGCACGCCTCCACGGAGTCGCACGCCAACGAGCTGCAGCTGAAGGCCAACAACATTCAGGAGGACAAAGAAACACACAGGCACAATGAATCGTCGATCCCCACGAAAATATAGGAAAATATGGGAAGTGGGGGGGGAAGACAAAAACCCAGAAAATATGGGGAAATATGGGGAATAGTTTTGTTTGTGTCTATTTCTTTGTGTGTCCCAGTTCCCCTTCAAACATGCGCGGCGATATCATGGACACGCTCGATCGCGGATTCGGGACTTCGAATTTGAGGCCGACGAGATGCAGCAGCAGATCGACTCCATTGGGCAGCGCGCCCTGCCGTTGCAGGGTCACGCGCCGAGCCTCGACAATTACGACGGCCGCTTCGGCGATCACTTCATCGGCTCTCCCTCGCTGCACCTGCGGCGCCTTCAACAACTACTTCTCCAGATCCGATTGCGGAGCATCTAATTCTGGTGGAATCGCTTCAGAAGGCGATTGCGACATTCATCACGAACTCCTCGGAGGATTGCTCCTGCCGCCACACATCTTCCCTCGGCGGTCGGCATTAGAAAGACGTGGCGCGCAAGCTACGTCCGATCAGCAGCATCGGTATCATCATCACCAACAACAGCATCATCAGCATCGTCATCTTCATCATCAGCAGCATCAGCATCACCATCCTCATCCTCCTCCTCCTCCAGTTATCCTCCTGAGCTTCTCCTCCTCCTCCTCCTCCTCCTCTTTCTCCTCCTCCTTCTTCTTCTCATTCCTCCTCCTCCTCATCCTCCTCTTTCTCCTCCTCCTCCTCCTCCTCGCTCCCCCTTCTCCTCCTCCTCCTCCTCCTCCTCCTCCTCCTCTCCTCCTCCTCCTCCTCCTCCTCCTCCCCCTCCCCCTCTTCATCCTTTCCCCCCCCCCCTCCTCCTCCTCCTCCTGCTCCTCCTCCTCGTCTCCTCCTCCTCGTCCTCCTCCTCCTGTTCCTGTTCCTCTTTCTGTTTCTTTTCCTCCTCCTCCTCCTCCTCCTCCTCCTCCTCCTCCTCATCCTCCTCATCCTCCTTCTTCCGCCTTCTCCTCCTTTTTCTTCTCTTCCTCTTCCTCATTATTATTCCTCGTCCTGTCCTCGTGATCGCCCTCCTCCTCCTCCTCCTCCTCCTCCTCCTCCTCCTCTCCTCCTCATCCATCATCCTCCTTATTATTACTATCCTCATCATCCTCCTTCCTCCCCTCCTCCTCCTCCTCCTCCTCCTCTCCTCCTCCTCCCCTCCTCCCCTCCTTCCTCTCTCCTCCCTCCTCCTCCTCCTCCTCCTCCTCCTCCTCCTCCTCCTCCCCCTCCTCCTCCTCCTTCATCATCTTCCTCCTCCTTCCCCTCCTCCCCCTTCTCCTCCTCCTCCTCCGCCTCCTCCTCCTCCTCTCTCCGCTCCTCCTCTTCCTCTGTCTTTCCTCTGCCTCCCCCTTCCCCGTTTGTGGGCCCCAGGGACCGTCACACTCCCAGGGCCACAATCCAGACTCAGAGCTGGCCGTCGGGCGCAGAATATGTTGAATTCGAAGCCCGACAAGCACGCATCTTTAAGGCACAGGGGCTAGGACACCACCTCGTGTTCCGCCCCAATGTTGTATTCTGCAGGCGATGCGCTGCCTACGCTCAGTGTAAGTGGACGAACCTTGTGAAGGAGGGCTGCAAGCCCGCCCGAGCTCGGACGGCCAAGGGTCGACTGACGCGTTTGTGGGAGGGCCGCCATCCATCCACAGGGAGGGAAGCCCTTGCAAGCCTTAACTTGCACGGCGAAGGCGGCTTGCGTGGTGCTCTCCATCTGCGTAAGTCCTAAGTAGCACAATCCTCCTCTTCCTCCTCCCTCAGCTCCTCCTCCTCCTCCCTCAGCTTTTCCTCCTCCTGCTCCTCCTTCTCATCCTCCTCATCCATTCCTTCTCCTTATAGATAACTCCCCCTTGTCGCACCCCGATGCCAGTTTTAGGGAGGGCCAGGCGTTTCGTCTGAGACTCCCTCACCATCTATGGCTCTGAAGCTAAAAGAGTGTCAACAGCTTCAAAGATGGAGGGCGGGTCGTTTTCAACATGTGGCTTTCGCCCCAGCGCCGCGCACATTCGTGTTAAACACTCGAAAAAGCTTCACGGATTGAAGGCGAGTGGTTTTCAAAATGTGATTACCGCTCTAGCGCCGCACACATTCGTTTTAACAATTTGCAAAAGTTTCACGGATTGAGGGCGGGTCGTTTTCAACATGTGGTTATCGCCTTAGCGCCGCGCACCTTCGTTTTGAAATATGCAAGAGTTTCACGTATTGAGGGCGGGTGGTTTTCAAAATGTGGTTCTCGTTTTAGCGCCGCGCACATTCGCTTTATAAAACATGCAAGAGCTTCACGGATTGAGGGCGGATGGTTTTCAAAATGCGGTGCTCGCCTGAGCGCCGCACACGTCTGTTTCAAAGATTTGCCAGGTCTTCACGGATTGAGGGCGGGTGGTTTTCAAAATGTGGTTCTCGCTTTAGCGCCGCGCATAATTGTTTTTTGAATATGCAAGAGTTTCACGGGCTGGCGTGTTGGAAGGATTCCGGCTTACGCGGGCGCGAAAGTTATGTTGATTCGTTGTGTCGAAATCCCCAAAATGGCGTTCTGGCACGGTTCTGGACCGTCAAGGCGAAGCAGTCAAGTTGACACGTGGCGTTGAAATCCCGAGAACAATGTTTTGGCACGCTTCAGGATCTTCAATTGCTGTCTTCCAACGAAGCAGTTCCCTGAATGGAACTTACCCGCTGTAGGGGCCTATGAAGAGGGAGCTTGGAGGGAGGGTTCCAACATCGTAGATGACTCTTGGGTTTCCGCTGGTGTTCCTCCTCCTCCGCCTCCTCCTCCTCCTCCGCCTCCTCCTCCTGCCCCTCCTCCCCCTCCGCCTCCTCCTCTCCTCCTCCTCCTCCTCCTCCTCCGCCTCCCCCTTCCTCCGCTTCGTATCATCCTCTGCATCTTCCTCATCATCATTTTCCTGTTCCTTATCATCATCCTCTTCTTCCTCCTCCTCCTCCTCCTCCTCCTTCTCCACCTCCTCCGCATCCCCCTCCAACTCCTCCTCTTCCTCCTCCTCCTCCTCCTCCTCCTCCTCCTCCTCTGCCTCATCCTCCGCCTCCTCCTATTCCTTTTCCTCCCTCCTCCTCCCTCCTCCTCTTCCTCCTCCTCCTCCACATCCTCCTCCTCCTCGTCCTCATCATCCTCCTCCTCCTCCGCCTCCCCTCCTCCTCCTTATTATCCTCCCCCTCATGCCCCTCCTCCTTCTCCTCCTCTTCTCTTCCTCCCCCTCCTCCTCCTCCTCCTTCTCTTCCTCCTCCTCTTCCTCCTCCTCCTCATCCTCCGCCTCCTCCCCCTCCTCCTCCTCCACCTCCCTTTCCTCCTCCTCCTCCTCCTCCTCCTCCTCCTCCTCCTCCAGAGACGCAGCTTCGAGACATCACTCGGACCAGCCAACTACAACGACGACGGGCACAGCAACACCGTACCGACCTCCGCGTGGAGGAGATGTACGAGGCGTGGGAGCAGCGCGACGTAGCACGGGTTGGACGACTTTCCCGACTGATTGCAGGAGGACGTACGGACCACGCAAGAGGGACTACTGGACGGCGACGACGGCAAACCCAACCAAACAGGAGTGGCTAGAGTTCTGGCAACTTCCAGGAGGCGCTGGCGGCATGGAGGGGACAGAGCAGGACACGCAACACCTGGAGGCCATCCCACACTACGCGGAGGAGCAGGACTACTACGAGAACGACTTAGAGGAGAAGATCGAGGAGGATTACAACGAGATCGCGAAGTGCCTCAAACGTGCACGCCTCCGACGAGCAGCACCACCTACAGCGGCACCAGCAGAAGTATGGCGACTGCTACTTTGCCCGCCAAACCAAGACCGACAACCACGCCAACGACACGGACCCGGACACCAAGCATACGACGGTGAGCTTGTTCCACTCCAAGCTCTACTCAAGGCGGCACCGGCAGCGATACGCATCAGCAACGTGGCACCAGTACGTTGGCATCAGAGTACGGCGACAGCAGTCAAGAAGAACACGAAGAAGGGCCCTGCAGGCAAGAGGATCTACCACATCATGGACCCGATCGGCAAGGCGTACTACGCGGCGGCGCTACGCCGACAGCAGAAGCGCACCCACACCGACCAGGACTACGGCTTCATCAAGGGCAGACGAAGAGAAGGCGCGATCCTCACCATGGCAGTCATCGAGTACAGAGCACGAATGGCGGGCTACAACTACGCGTCCACCATGAAGGATATGTCCAACGCGTTCGCCAGCTGCAAATGGATTACCATGGACGCGGCGAACAGCAATATCATGCCGAATGCGAACAGCGCTACCGCCGAGCAACCTTCATCATAGACTGCAGAGACGACGAGCAGGGCGTGTGCATCAAGCCCCACTGCGGTGGCCTCATTGGCGACCCGTACATGGTACGCAACTTCGTGGCCAGCTTCGCGCCCTGCATTGAGCGCTGGACTAAGGACTGCAACGAGGAGATCCCGAACGACAAGCTGCTCTATGGCACGAGCGAACTATTTCAACACCCCGTCTAAGTTGGCCTGACCAAGTACGCGGACGACATACGCAAGCTCATCTTTTGCGGGAAGCAAGCAGACGCCCACTCCCTCGTCGACCAGGCCCACAAGATAGACGACACATTGAACGTACGCCTCACAGAGATCGGCCTCAAACAGAACCAGGACAAGCAGGAGACGATCGTTTACTTCCAGGGCTCGGGTACCAGCCAGGCACATCGACAACTCAAGCAGGACCCGCAGTGCAAGCTTCTTGGCAAGGTAGCGGCGACGGCGAGGTACTTGGGCCCACAGGTCACAGCGACACAACAATATTACCCAGAACTGCAGAAACGCATCCAGGCCATGAAGAAGAGCTACTACGAGCGCGGCAAGTTCTGGGCCAAGCGCGAGATCCCGTACAGGTGGAAGCGCGCCGTCCTCATATGAAGGGTCATCAACACGGGACTCTCATGCATCGAGTGCTACCTGCCGACGCCCAACGAGTACCAGATACTTCAGAGTGCAATGGGAGCACTGCCGAGGAGGGCGATGGCAGGCAGGGCGAGCACGCACCACGAGGACGGCACAGTGCGCAGCATGACTACGCTGGAGGTTTTTCGCTACTGGCTGATCCTGCCACCAGAGGAGGAAGCCTTGGCGCGAAGGCTCGGCTGGACAAAAAACATCTTGAGATTCCCGAACAATCACCGCCAACTCATCGTCGCCCTGCTCGGACGCCTCGAATTCGAGACCAATGCCGACGAGACCACGAACGAGCTGACGACGCATACGAACCCCTGGACCCGTCGAATCGAGGAGGACGTTGCGAAAGCCTGCCAAGTCCCGGAGAACTTCAGAACCATCTTCGGGGAGGAAAAGGTCAACACAGGTAAGATGTACACGCTCGAAGTGAGAGAACAACTACACCTACTAGACGCACGAGAGGTCAGAGCAGCTACATTGACAGTAGCAGTTCCCCCACCAGGACAGGCCCCAAACGATGAGCTCCGAGAAGATCTGGCCCTCCAGGACCTCCAACCGTGGAAATGCTCTCTCAGGGATTGTTTAGGGGAATGCGGACTCCTGTTCGCCAGCAAGAAGGCGTTGCACAGTCACACCATCCGAAATTATCACGTGCACAATTTAGCCGCTCTGCTGACTACTAACAACGAGTGCATCAATTGCCACCAGTGTTTCACTAGCCGAGGGACCGCTTGGAAACATCTCGCGAGGAGTATGATTACAGGAAGCTGCACTTCAGATAGGACACGTAATCAATGCCAGCCGACAAAACCGAGCACGAAATGCCCTCTCTGCAGCCATCTCTTCCTGGACAAGGGCACGTTCTTCTCCCACCTATGCACTCACTGACCTAGACAGCTACTCCGACCGCGAGCACGGGATGGCGCTCTTCGACCAGCGCCCAGCATGGGCGCCCGCGGCGACGGCAGGAGGGCCACCGCGCCCCGACCGCAGCCGCCAGCCGAGCCGCCTCTTGGGAGGAGCACCAGCAGGAGGACCAGGAGGAACAGCGGCGGCGCCCAACCAGCAGGTAGTCGACATCACGGCGCACCTCGCCCAGACGCTGGCGAGCGAGCAGGCCGAGCTGGGCAGCCCCCACATCAGCGAGTGGACAGAGGTGGTGAACTACATGGGCCGCACCCTGGAGCCAGGCGCGGAGCACGGCCACTGGGAGAAGTACTACCAGGACACCATCTCGAATGGCAACGCGGAGACGGCGGCCGACAGCATTCCGATCTCCAGGGAGCGCAAGAACAAGGGCAAGGAGGGCGGAGCGAACGAGAAGCGCAGGATCCAGCCCCAGGTGAAGTTGGCGAACCCGCAAGTGGAGCCCATCCACGCGCGGGTACTACGCAAAGAAGGAACGGTTCGCAACATTGGATCGGCGCCGAGGGAAGTGCTGGAGCGGGAGATGTGGCGCCTGATCAACGGATGAGAACCGTGCAGCTCTGTCCTGTGTCTGCCAGCGCCGTAGCGCAGGCAATTCCGAAGGCGTTCAGAGGCAGTGAACGTTTTAGAATGCTGGTAAGGGAAGGCCGCCTCCCCCCTCCTCCCCCGTCGCCGGAGACTCCTGACCCCTTCCGGCTCCGAGGCCCGAGCTTTCCCGAGTAATTTGTTGTGCACCGACCTCTTCCACCCCCACCCCCGAACCGAAGCGAAAGGGAAGGGGCAGAGGAGGCCAGGGCAGGGGAGTAGAGGAACCAGCGAGAGGGCATTCGTAAACGCGGGTGCTACCCTACCCACGGACCCCTGCGTGGGGCAGGTCGGTGCAGGTAGGGCCCGAGCGTTTCAGATGACGCCAGCGACCCCCTTTCGGCAAAGTGATCTCAGCTAGGCCACCAGATTTTGTAATGCCACGCAAGCCCGAGAGAGCGTAGCACCGAACTGGCCCGAGAGCTCGATCGATCGATCGATCCTCCTCCTCCTCCTCCTCCGCCTCCTCCTCCTCCTCCTCCTCCTCCTCCTCTTCCTCCGCATTCGCCTCCTCCTCCTCCTCCTCCTCCTCCTCCTCCTCCTCCTCCTCCTCCTCCTCATCCTCATCCTCATCCTCATCCTCATCCTCATCCTCCGTCTCCTCCTCCTCCTCCTCCTCTTTTTCCGCCTTCGC